TCTCTTGCAAACTCAGAACAACCTAGCTTGGCTTGACTTTGTGGTGCTCTTGGAAAGAGAATGTGTTTTTGTACAGGGTACTTTGTCCTGTGGTCCTCAGAGCACTGCTGCTTCTGTTACAACTAGGGGACATTATGTTTTGAATATATTTATTCTCTCAGCAGCCTTAGTGGCTGCTGGAAAAAGCTACCAGGTTACAAAGAAGACATGCAGGCATACCTCTATGGCTTTCACACGCCCCTGCCTCTCAAGATCTCTTTGCTCAAAAAAAACCTGCATGAAATACTAGTCAAGTCTCTGAGAATTTATTTTCACCTGAAGTCTTCTATAGTAAGTGTATATGATTTAATATGTAAATCACTATGGCTATGACTAAAATTGCTTGGCAGCTTTCCCCTGCTAGTACATTGTTGTGAGGACTGATTTCTCTTCATGAGCCATTTGTGTGCTTTGAAAAAAAGGTCATCTTTTATTCTGCAATAGAATAAGTTCTGGCATCCACTTGCTGAGTTACACATAGACTATGTGCTGGAAGAGGTCTGGCAATTACCCTGGACTTACCTACAGGTTTTGCTGGGAGACAAATTCCTACCAAGCACAGCAGTAGTTCTGCAATTGATTTCCTTGGAAATTTGATTGACATGAATAATTACATTGTCAACAGCATGTTCATGCTTGGAGGACTTATTGGTTAAGTCAATTATTTCAGGTAAAGATGGTTTTTCTGATGGTCTGCTTGTACTGATAAGTTTGTGTATCAATACTGTTGTCCCATGTAGAAATCACAGAAGGGTCTTTTGCTTATGAACTCACATAAATGAAAGTGCAGAAGTAGTTTACAACTACATAAAAAACTATGTAGCACTAGGGAACATCCCTGAGTATCAGAACTCAGATGTGTGTATCTTAAATTTTTTTTTAAGTCCTCCCTGGCATGGTTTTGGCTTGAGACAATTAAAATTTTCCCCAGCAGTTCCTGGACGTAGTTCAGGAGCTGTCATGGGCTGCAGACCATTCCCAATAAGTGGTCTGCGTACAACCATCCCATTTTAGAAAATAAGAGAGTTTAGCAGTAGGGACACAGGCTGTCCTTTGATAGTTGGCCTCAGTGCCAGAGCCAAGACCCAAGAACATTTAATTCGCTATTCCAGACATTATCACAAATGTTTAGGACACTTTTGAAACAGCTTATGAAGGTATTGGAGCAAATGTATTTCTTAAAACTATTTACAAACTCTCGTCTTGATTGTTTTGCAACTTGATAGCTCACTCTGTAGACCCTCGCTGCTGTGCTTCATTCCAGCCTCCACAACGGCTGTATCTTTGCTGGAATCACAATATTTACACAATATAGGGATTTCTTAAGGGTATGCTTAAAATTTGAAAACTGAACCTGTTCATTTCTTGGCTAACAGGCAAAATTGTCTTTAAAGCTTAGAGACATAAAAAAAAAGACACTACTCTCTATCACTAGAAAAATGTATCAACAGGGAGAAAACAAGTACAATTTTGCTGTGAAAGAAATCTGCCTGAAACCAACCAGACAGTGAACTCTGCCTAGCAAATGGAGGTTTTATGGCCTAATCCAACAACAGACATGTCTGCCATGGAGAAATACCCATGAAGTTTTAAGAAGTCATTGAAAGTCTCTCTGAATACTTCCACTGTAGACAGCCTACAGAAAAAGAAAACAGGGTGCTGGAAAGGGAGGAGCGAAGTGATTCCTCAGGAGAGACTGGCCCCTTCCTCTGCCCTGGCTGGGTGGCCAGCTGTGACTTTGAGATGGCCTGCATTCATTCCTAGACATCCTGACATTTAAGTGTGCTTTCACCTTCCAAGTAACTACAGAGGATCTGCTGTGCTTGCTCAGCCAAACACAAATTAATAATTGCCTGTGCTTTACTTTTACAATGTGTTGAAGATATACAGGTATTTTGCTCTGCTCTCAGGAAACAAGGGGATGAAATAATTGCATTGTTGCTATGGAGCATATATGCAGGCTTGCAATTTTTAAAAACTGTATCCAAATCAACCTTTTAAAAAAATCATAAGCACAGCTCCACACGGCAGAATATTTGTTTTAGTGGCTTCATTTAGTTGCCTTCTTTTTATCCCTAGAGGTCTGCATTTCTTCACTTTAGAATAAATCTTTATTTGATTGTTTATTCTTTAAATGAAAGCTAATATTTTTACATAATCATACGACTTTCAGAGCCAGAGTTTTAAGAAGGAGACAGAGAAAATTCTGGTAAAAAGAATGAGAACTGGGAAGGCAATGCAGAAAGACTTCAAATCTTCCCAGGCTATTTCCAAGGTACTACTAGTACAATAGTGATACAGTAGTATTTACTATGATGGTGTATATTGTATAGTATAATCCATATTTTACTAGGATTTCAATGACACCATTATCTACAACTAATAGAAGGTTTTACACTTTGTTCCCATACCAGTTAACAGTTTTTTGTTACAAAGATGTGTTTCCATTTCATTAGGGCAGTTACTGCTGGCAATGAAAGGAGAGAAATACTTCCTGACACACTATGTCCACCAGCTCTTTAACATGTTGCTTGTGTAAAAAATGTGACATGAGATATTCTCACTTTGAACTAGAATGATCTGGGGTTTTGACACCAGTGTAACACATTTGCACTGAAGGTGTGAACTCAAGCAGCAGGAGGTTTGAGCTTTTCATTAGAGCAGACCTTGGTGTGGGCAAGATCTATCTAGTTACACAGCTGGCACTCCACAGCCATCACTTGTCTGATGGGAGACCAAGTGCCAAATGTGGTCTTTGAAACAGGCAGCATGGAACAACTATTTCATATGAAACATGCCTGAGAATTTAATTTTGAATGGCAGGCAATGTTTTTTATGTGGTCCCACTCTGTGTTTCAGCACAGTGTGCACAAACTGCCTCTTTCCTGTAACTTCTGAAACAAGTTTCTGTACAGTGCCCGGTCTTCTCCTTGCCACATTTTTAAAAAATGAAATTAAACACAGAGACCTATTCAGCTGAAAACAACCTCTGTAGCTATTTCTGCGTGAGCTCTGTGAATCTCTTGTGCTCTGAAGATATTAACACAATTCTCAAAGGAAAAATGTCCCCTTCCCAGCAGCCATGAAAGAGGCTGTTAGACATAATGATACTCGCACCCAGCAGAGCTGTTCTGCTCTGTGTTACAGCAAAGTCATACATGTCCACACTATTTCTCTTGGGCCTTATAGGGCAGCAGAGAGCACTGGCTGAAAGTATTTTTCCTTGTCCAGGCTTGAGTAAGAGAAATGTTATCAGATCTATTCCATGCTCTGGTATCTCAGATACCCCTTCTGGACCTATAATTTGGAGATGTATGTACATGGAAGAAACAATTTTTAAGGATACATAGCAGGAATATCTCAAGAAGAAAAAAAAAAGGGGGGGGGGTGTCATTCTACAGTTTTTCTCTGATTTCTGGGAGCAGCTTAAAGGGAGAAGGATGAGGGATTCATAATCTACCTCCACCTGAGGCCAAGTAGGTTTTGTGATATTTTAATTTCCCACTTTCTCGGGAGTTATTCTGCACATTTGTGAGAGAAAGGTGGAGGTTGGAGTTAATGAAGGAATTAGTAATAAAAATTATAAAATACAGAATCGGAGAAAGATTAAGGTCTGAGGGGGATTCTGAGGGTCCTGATATGAAGAAGAGTCCCTTTTGTCTTTCTGTTTGAGAAACAGCTTGTTCCCAGAGCTATTATCAAAGATCACTGCCAAGCCTGCAGGAGTTTGCATGGTTTCAGTGATTTCCTGCTGGAAGCAGCCTGCACTGCAGCAAGCCTAGTAAAAATGCACAACAGATTTTAAAGTAGATACCTTTAATCTCCTAAGGCAAAATAGAAAGAGATGTAGCCCAATTTCAGATTGATCAGGATTAAAGAACAAAACTAATGCTAAAATAATGCCAGTTGCAGAGGCCAAAATTTACCTCTAGTTCAGAAAAACAAAAGTTGAGGCTATTGTACATGAACTATCTGTGAGAGGCTGTGGCTGAAAGCAACACATTATTAGTTCTAGATGTCCTTACTCGTTTACAAATATAGTATGTGGCATTTCAGAGCTTTTAAATTTCTTTGTTGATACATTTTTAGAGATGAGTGAACTTAGACCACAAGGTAAGGATGCAAATATTTACTCATTGTAGGAAAATGTTACTGGTTTTTCTTGCAAGTTCTGTTTCTGCTTATGTGGTGTGCAGGTGTTTTGAACATTGATACCAGAACTTGCTATGACAAGTGAACAAGTAGTAACATATTTATATAATTTCAACTTGGAAGTTTTCTGCAGCAAAGTTTAGGTCTAACTTAGTAAGTTTTGCTGTATTTTAGACCACTTGCTATTGATCGTATAATACAGTGTTTAATGCCAGATTAAACCTGTGTGGTTTTGTTCTCTAATGATGGCCTGAGTAATTTTTAGCAGTTTGACTTCCCCCCCCCCCCACCCCCCACCACC